TCAGAAGGAGTAAACTGCTTTACTCAGAGCTAGTCCAGAGAAAACAATTATGTTTGTCCCCCATTAGCTCTAATCCATCATGTTCTTCAACACATAAGAGAAGAAAAGGCTGTAGCAACTATAATCGTTCCAAAATAGATGTCAACAGAGTGGTGGCCAATGTTAATATATATGACAATAGATATGTTGCTCCTGCCTCCAGTTCAGGTTTCATTTAACAAAGGGATTTCAGGAGAAGTGGAACCGTGGAGAAACCTGAATTGGCAGTTTGTAGTAGCAAGAATAGGTTAGTAAAAATGCTGTTAGCTAAAGTACAGACTTTAAATAAAAAAGCAGTATCAGATAGTTGGAATAAGCGACTAGACAAGGCATGGGATGTGTATAGAGATTTCTGTAAAGTTATGAATTTGAGAGCACTTCCATCTGAAGTTGATACATTGGTATCTTTCATTGTTTGGTTAGATTTAACTCAGTCAATTTCAGGTTGTATGGATGTTCTAGCAGCAGTTTCAAGAGCGCATCTTGAAGCCCAGCTTACAGATCCATCTAAGGAATATAGAGTTAAGAGGGTTTATAGAGCACTGTTAAAGGATCATAGAAAGGCTAAAGACCCAAACTGGCCTCGTGATTCTTTAACAGTAGCTGCCTTAAAGTTTTTTGTTGACAAGAAACCACAGCTAATCAGTAATGATTTTTGGATATGTGATGCTGCATTGATAGCTATTGGCTTGAGAACTATGCGCCGTCTTGGTGACTTTGTAGTCTAAAGCTTAAAGATATTAAGTTTGGAGAAAAACTGTTTTGGGTTCGTATAAGTTCATCCAAGACAGATCAATTTGCCAATGGAAAATTTATTCCGATAGAATATTCAAATAGTAAATATTGTCCAGTCAGGCTATTAAGAAGACACCTGGCAATTAGGCCAAGAATATCAGATGATATGCCACTTTTCCTGTCTAAAAGCAGGGTACAGTTGTCAGTAGGGGCAGTAGGTGCTATTGTCAAGAGAATCGCAGAGAATACAGGCCTCCAAGGTAAATTCACTGCTCATAGCATTAGAATAGAAGGTGCAATAGCAGCAATAGAGGCTGGTATGTCATTAGCACAAATTCAAGCCATAGGAGGATGGGACAGTAAATCAGTTATGCTATATCTGAGGACTGTGGGCATAGCAAACTTAATGTTTTCAAAGAAAATGGGGTTTTAATATTGTCGATCCTCTTTTAGTCCCCATATGTTTTTTCATCTAATTAGTAATAAAGATAAGTCTCTGATCGAGCAATAATAATGAAAAGCTTGTCAACGAAGTGACAGAGCGATCATTATTGCGAGATCAGAGGACTTAGATTACGTGGAAATATATTGTTTAACCTTTTATGGAATAGTTGTAATTAGTTAATAGTTCGCTAGTTCTAAGCAGGTTTTTCGTGATGTAGCGGCCTGATTGCATATGATGATATTATGGTTATTAGTTTACAGTAAGTCATTGTTATCAAGTAAGAAGTATGAGTCTTCTATGTGGGCGTAAGACGCCTTTGTCCAATAAATGGTTATTTAAAGGTTTTGAAGGTTGTTAGTAGATTATCTTTCTTTTCGCTATCGCTCGCCTTGTGTTAAGGCTGGCTCTATCCCCCACTCCCTCCCTAATATCATTTCTGTTCTTTTCTGTTTCTTTAGCAGTTGCTTAAATTCTTGGTTAGTAAGCTCTGTATTGGTAAAGAGAGGCTCCGCGGCTGTTTAGACAGTGCAAGGACCTCTTAGTTAGGCTCTGCGGCTGCTTCGGCAGTGCAAAGACCTCTTAGTTAGGCTTCACGGCTGCTTCGGCAGTGCAAGGACCTATTAGTTAGGCTCCATGGCTGCTTTGGCAGTGCAAGGACCATATAATCGAGCTCCACGGCTGTATTGGCAGTTCAAGGACCTGTGCAGTACATATTTAAGGTGTTTGAAATACCCGATTCTCTTTTTTTGCTATAAAGGCTTACGATAGTTATGGACTTAAACGTTTAGATTTTATAATATATATCTAGAGTAGTGGGCTTGAGATTACGTGTTTCCTTAGTAGATTAAATGGTACAGTAGTGCCTTGGGATGACAGACACGTTTAGATTTTCTATACTGAATGACCAGCATAGCGAGTTTGTGGTTATGCATTTTCTTAGTCCAAATATATAGTACAGTAGGGTCTTGAGATAGCGGACCTATCCCCATATGTTTTTTCATCTAATTAGTAATAAAGATAAGTCTCTGATCGAGCAATAATAATACTGTATTACATAAAACTTGAAATAATTATAAACAAAATATCCGAATACATACATGGTACTGTAAACTGGTTTAAAAATTAGTACATTTATTAATCTAATAATTTATATTCATATTGATAATCTAATATTCTGTTTAAAGACAAATCGCAATAATGATACATAAATCGTATTGAAAGTAACAAGTAACAAGTAGTTTGGACTGATAAAAAAATGCCTCGCAAAAATCATCATCTAAAAACTCAATATAAATTTAATATGATGCTTTGTTCAGATAAAATAAATATTAATAAAATAAAACATGGAGTTAAAAAATTAATTTAAGAGCGTAAAGCTTTCTTATCATGTCAATTGAATAGAAATGATATCTCCAAAGAAACTTATGAATCAAAAAACTCTAAGCTTACAGAATTAGAAACTCAAGTTGGATTACTATTTTCCAAAACTACACGATTAGAAAATAATAAAATTTTATTTCAAACTGAAATCAAGAAACTTAAAGAAGATTTACAACGCATTGCCAAAAGCTATGAAGATGATAAAACAAAACTAGAAAAATATTATTCTGTTATTCGACAAACTCATTCTATATTACAAGAAATGTTTAATTCTAATGAAATAGGTAAACTTAAAACTTGTGCAATTCAAAAGTTATATTATAACTTTGCTGATCCTAAATTCATTACCAGATATTCTGCGATTGTCAGTTCTCTGTAAAGAAATTAAAGAAATTTGTGAAGGTTGTGAAGATGTAAATGGTTTGAATATTCCGAGTACATATGCACACCCAAACAATATAGATAAAATTATTTGTTTTTAAGTACTAAGTAAATTTTAATACTCTTATAAAAAACTGAATTTCTGAATTCCTAAATTTAATAGTATACAATTCATTTGAAGAAGCGTTAAATGCTTCTGAGCAAAAAATAATTGAATTAGATAAAGATGGAAAATATATTGAACCAAAGTTTCTATCTTTAGTTCGACAACATTGTTTTTATAATATTCAATAGGGTTAAACGATCAAGAATTTGATATTTCAAAATTTCCTTTTAATGTTTGTTAATTGTCACCATTGTGTGAAATTATCTCTTTTGAATGAATGTAAAATTTTGTATTTTTCAAATATATATATAATGAAATTAATTTTCATAATATCTTTTTTGTCAAGAATTATACTATTACTATGTAAAATGGGGTTGACTAAACAATGCTATTAAGGCAAATATACTAGAATCAAAGCAGATTAATCGGTTGTCAATATATGATATTGAAAAAATCAAAATAATCAATTCAATGTACGAATCATTTTCCATTAATGCTAATATTCGTCTATAAAAATCAAAGTTATTTAGTTGAATACGAACTATATCACATATTTATAATGCGTATAAGAAAACAACACAACCCCAACGATATAATGGAATATATTTGCGACTGCTCAATCTCTATAAATCATGTAAAAAATCCTTTTCATATTTACAAACGAATATAAACATCGATCACATCGATTAAATGTGTTCGTGATTCAAACCGCATATGTAATTAACCGAATTCATCTATGATGATTTAGAAAAAACTTATTTTTTATTTACGCTTCTAGAGTTACTGGTAAACATATTAATATTCTGTTTTGAAATTGGCCTTAAAAGCGTAAATACTCATAGAATAAAACCGTAATCTATCGCTATAAAAAACTAAATTCAATTAACACGTTTTTTTTGTGAAATTGTAAAAGTTACATTCACATGTCACCATGGTTTTTTTAACTATTAATTAAATTTCTATAGGTAGACCAAATCAAAGTTTGATTTTTGTTAGATGATATTTGAAAAATGTGCGTTATTTTTTTGTAGTTTTTCACTTTATACAATATTTTAAATAAATTTATTTCATTTTTCACTTTTATTTTCGATCACAAATTAATGAAAAAAACTAAATAACATATTCGAATAGCAAATAAAATTATTCACTATTTGAGCTTTGATAAAAAAACTCTTATCAGACATAATATTATTAAAAATATAGCATCAAATCCATATCATCATATAAGAGTAAATAGACAATTCAAATTAAAGTGAACCCATCAGATTGTAAACATCACAATTAACTTCCCATTGTGAACTTTTAAAAGAAATAAAATATTAGTAAATATTTGAATGAAAATAAATGAAATTATTTAAAGCATAATTATACTTTCTCAACTATTTCTCAGTCATATACTTCTTTAAATCAGTAACATCCAGCTTATAATTGTAACTTCTAATTGTCAGAAAATTTTTATATATTTCTAGAAAATTAAATAAGAAGAAAAAGAACGGCCCATTGAGCACACATTCTTGACCAGCCCATAGAGCACACAGTCATAAAGTTTAAAGAAGCAATTAATCCAATTTTATGTTATAATAACAGAAACCTCAAAAAAAATTTTACTTCTCTCTATATTCCATTTAAAACATAAGCTTCAGTAAAAAGGTTCAAGTTGACAAAATTTTCAGACAAAAAGATTTGGTATTTGGGCATGACCTAGTAAAATGGAGTCTGGCAGACGTGATAAATTAATGTTTAACGAGTCGCATCATCTTGAAAAAAAAAGAACTTGCTTATTTTAGTTTCGTCAAGAATAGATATAATTCTTCTTGATATGCTTGGTGAAGATTCTATGTTAGAGGTGAAATGAGTATATGATGAAAAATAAAATTTAACGTGACAGAAAACTTTGATTAATTGATTTGTATAACTGTGAAATATTAGAATGCCTTGCGTATGATAAACAATAGTCAATTAAGTAAAACATTAAAACTTGCATAATCATCTTGGAAAGACATGATTAATTTATTAAACAAGTGTTTAGTCAATTAAGTAATTGTATGTGAAACATTAGAACGTCTTGCATAATCGTCTTGCATCATCTTGGATAAACTTTCTACTTAGAAAGACATGATTTATTTACTTGTATAACTGTGAAACGTTAGAACACCTTGTGTGTGATCTTTCAGGGTTATCAATTAAACAAGTCTTTAGTCAATTAAGTACTTGTATGTGAAACATTATTGCATAATCATCTTGGAAAAATATGATTAATTTATTTGTATAACTGTGAAATGTTAAAACGCCTTGCGTGATCTTTCAGGAGCTATCAATTAAACAAGTCTTAGGTCAATTAAGTAATTGTATGTGAAACATTAGAACGCCTTGCATAATCGTCTTGCATAATCATCTTGGATAGAATTTCTACTTAGAAAGTCATGATTTATTTACTTGGAAAACTGTGAAATGTTAGAACGCCTTGCGTGTGATCTTTTCAGGTCTTTAGTCAATTAAACAATGTCTTTAGTCAATTAAGTAATTGTATGTGAAACATTAGAATGCCTTGTATAATCATCTTGGAAGCATGATTAATTTATTTGTATAACTGTGAAACATTAGAACACCTTGCGTGATCTTTTAGGAGTTATCAATTAAACAAGTCCTTTAGTCAATTAAGTAATTAATCGTCTTGCATAATCATCTTGGATAAACTTTTTACTTAGAAAGTCATGATTTATTTACTTGTATAACTGTGAAATGTTAGAACGCCTTGCGTGTGATCTTTCAGAAGTTATCAATTAAACAAGTCTTTAGTCAATTAGTAATTGTATATGAAACATTAGAACTCCTTGCATAATCAACTTGAAAAGACATGATTAATTTATTTGTATAACTGTGAAATGTTAAAACGCCTTGCGTGATCTTTCAGGAGTTATCAATTAAACAAGTCTTTAGTCAATTAAGTAATTGTATGTGAAACATTAGAACACCTTGCATAATCGTCTTGCATAATCATCTTGGATAGAATTTCTACTTAGAAAGACATGGTTTATTTACTTGGAAAACTGTGAAATGTTAAAACACCTTGCGTGTGATCTTTTCAGGTCTTTAGTCAATTAAACAAGTCTTTAGTCAATTAAGTAATTGTATGTGAAACATTAGAACGCCTTGTATAATCATCTTGAAAGCATGATTAATTTATTTGTATAACTGTGAAACGTTAGAATGCTTTGCGTGATCTTTCAGGAGTTATTAATTAAACAAGTCTTTAGTCAATTAAGTAATTAATCGTCTTGCATAATCATCTTGAATAGACTTTCTACTTAGAAAGTCATGATTTATTTATTTTGATAACTGTGAAATGTTAGAACGCCTTGCATGTGATCTTTCAGGAGTTATCAATTAAACAAGTCTTTAGTCAATTAAGTTATTGAATGTGAAACATTAGAACGCTTTGCATAATCATCTTGCATAATCATCTTGGATAAACTTTCTACTTAGAAAGTCATGATTTATTTACTTGTATAACTGTGAAAAGTTAGAACGCCTTGCGTGTGATCTTTCAGGAGTTATCAATTAAACAAGTCTTTAGTCAATTAAGTAATTGTATGTGAAATATTAGAACGCCTTGTATAATTATCTTGGAAGCATGATTAATTTATTTGTATAACTGTGAAATGTTAGAACGCCTTGCGTGATCTTTCAGGAGTTATCAATTAAACAAGTCTTTAGTCAATTAAGTAATTAATCATCTTGCATAATTATCTTGGATAGACTTTCTACTTAGAAAGTTATGATTTATTTACTTTGATAACTGTGAAACGTTAGAATACCTTGCATGTGATCTTTCAGGAGTTATCAATTAAACAAGTTTTTAGTCAATTAAGTTATTGAATGTGAAACATTGGATAAACTTTCTACTTAGAAAGACATGATTTATTTACTTGTATAACTGTGAAACGTTAGAATGCCTTGCGTGTGATCTTTCAGAAGTTATCAATTAAACAAGTCTTTAGTCAATTAAGTTATTGAATGTGAAACATTATTGCATAATCATCTTGGATAGACTTTCTACTTAGAAAGTCATGATTTATTTACTTTGATAACTGTGAAATGTTAGAATGCCTTGCGTGTGATCTTTCAGGAGTTATCAATTAAACAAGTTTTTAGTCAATTAAGTTATTGAATGTGAAACATTATTGCATAATCATCTTGGATAAACTTTCTACTTAGAAAGACATGATTTATTTACTTGTATAACTGTTTAGTCAATTAAGTAATTGTATGTGAAATATTAGAACGCCTTGCATAATCGTCTTGGATAGAATTTCTACTTAGAAAGTCATGATTTATTTACTTAGAAAACTGTGAAACGTTAGAACACCTTGCATGTGATCTTTCAGGAGTTATCAATTAAACAAGTCTTTAGTCAATTAAGTAATTGTATATGAAACATTATTGCATAATCATCTTGGAAAAACATGATTAATTTACTTGGAAAACTGTGAAACGTTAAAACGTCTTGCGTGATCTTTCAGGAGCTATCAATTAAACAAGTCTTAGGTCAATTAAGTAATTGTATGTAAAATATTAGAATGCCTTGCATAATCGTCTTGCATAATCATCTTGGATAGAATTTCTACTTAGAAAGTCATGATTTATTTACTTGGAAAACTGTGAAATGTTAGAACGTCTTGCGTGTGATCTTTTCAAGTCTTTAGTCAATTAAACAATGTCTTTAGTCAATTAAGTAATTGTATGTGAAACATTAGAACACCTTGCATATTCATCTTGGAAGCATGATTAATTTATTTGTATAACTGTGAAATGTTAGAACACCTTGCGTGATCTTTCAGTGAGTTATCAATTAAACAAGTCTTTAGTCAATTAAGTAATTAATCATCTTGCATAATCATCTTGGATAGAATTTCTACTTAGAAAGTCATGATTTATTTACTTGGAAAACTGTGAAATGTTAAAACACCTTGCGTGTGATCTTTTCAGGTCTTTAGTCAATTAAACAAGTCTTTAGTCAATTAAGTAATTGTATGTAAAATATTATTGCATAATCATCTTGAAAAAACATGATTTATTTACTTGAAAAACTGTGAAACATTAGAACACCTTGCGTGTGATCTTTTCAGGTCTTTAGTCAATTAAACAAGTCTTTAGTCAATTAAGTAATTTATTTGTATAACTGCAAAACGTTAGAACGCCTTGCGTGATCTTTCAGAAGTTATCAATTAAACAAGTCTTTAGCCAACATTAGAACGTGCCTTGCATAATCATCTTGGAAAGACATTTTTAATTTACTTGAATAATTGTGAACCGTTAGAACCTTGCGTGATCTTTTGCATGATTTAACCAATTAAATAATTGTATTTAGTGTTACAAATCGGCAAATCGATTATTTTTTCAGTTGATTGCAATGGTCGATTAGTTAATTAAGCAAATAAATGATTTTTCAATCGATTTTTGCAAATAATCAATTAATTCTTAGTCAATTAGTTGTTAACTAAGGAATTAATCGATTTATTTTGATTCCGATTTGTATCACTAATTGTATTATGTGAGTTATCAATTAAAGTCTTTAGCTAATTAAGTAATTGTATGTGAAACATTACCAACTTTAGCCAATTATTTATTAACTAAAATTTTTTAATCTTTTCAAATTAATGGGTCAAGAATGCAATGAGACACTTTTTTTTATAATTAATTACATAATTCAATTTTTGATAAAATCACAATTGCAAAAAAAATTAACTATTTCGATAATATAGTTAATTTGAACTTACAAAATAAAACATAAATTAAAATCATAATTGCAAAAAAATTAACCATAATTAGTTTGAAACTTACTACGTACATAATTCAATTTGCATAAAATAAAACATAAATTAAAATCATAATTGCATAAAAAATAATCAAATAAAGGTTTTGTTCTTCCAAGTTTAACTGATACATTAATTATCTTTTTTGGTTAAACAACTAATTAATTTATTAATATCTTCAGAACTAGCTTCCTGAAGATAATTAAATGTAATGTTTGAACCTCTCAATTTTTCGAGTATTTGGTCTCGGGAAATATTTTCTTCATCAGATACTTAAATTAAATAATAAAATGATTAATCAAAAAAGTTCGATTTTCAGAATAAAATTCTTCATAAATTTTTAATATACCTTTGAAAATCAAAGTCAAATTTTCATATGCTCTTCTCCAATGCGATGTCATTGAGTAAAGATTTGAATAACCATTTTCAGTAACTGGAATAAATTCTTTAATCAAACTGTTTAATTCTTTGGAAGTTAACTTCTTTTCTTTGTCTTTAATTGAATCATACAATGCTTCAAATAACTTAAATCTGCTATAAAATTCAATCCAGTTCAAATTAATTTTTCTTGTGCTATCTTTTTGTGCAATTCTAGATTGTAGTTCTTCCATTTTTCCTTCCAATCTTCTGAATTACCAGGTGTAATTGGATTATAAGACGGTATGACTGGATTAATTCTTTTATCAATACGCTTAATAAAGGAGTCGGTAGAAGTTGGTTGCCTTTTTTTTGTTGTTGTCATTTTATTTTTAGCTGTTACAAGTAGTGTGCTGTATCACAATATTGACAACAAGTAATAAATGTGACAAAGGAATGTTTTGAAATGATAAAATTAGTTAAACTGAAGAGTATGATAGTGGTAGATCTTTGAATATTAATGAATAAATATATAAAATAATTATGCTGTGAAACTTATCCTGCATATAGATTCGATAAAAAAGAATAATTTTTGGTTTTTAAACTATTTAACTATTAAGAGCTAATTTGTAGGACCCAAATAATGAACGTGACCTCACATTCTATTCTATCTCGAAATTTACAAACTTATACTTCATTACTTCTAAATTATTTTGCTAGACTATTTTACTTGCCTGTCTACTTGCCTGTCTTGAGATTATAAATAAATTATTGCGAAAATAACTCTTAAAATTATTAAACTTCGCAGATTTGCATGTTATATTTATGACTTATTGGCTAAATTGAAGTGCTCAGACAAAGTTTGGATAACCCATTAGAAGCTAAAAACATAGCTAATAACTTTGACAAAAATTCAATCAATAAAAAATAAATCGAATTTTTTATAGTATGTCGCCTACTCATATCCCATACTGTATTACAAAGTTAGAACAGATATTGTAATTATATAGAGATAACTTATTGGTTTTTTAAAAAAAAATGTGCTCAGATGACTCGTTTATTAATTAAAATTTCAAATATTTTTTAAACAGAAAGTATGTCAGGGAATCAAAATAATAACTTTAAACCTTTAATTACAAAATGTTTAAATTTTGCGGAAAAGAATAAATATCACTTGTTTTTAATATTTACATTGGTATTCCTTCATATTCTAGATGTCCAAATCCTCTTATGTAAAAAAAGATTTTAATAATTTGTATTAAATCTTCTATCTTTTGTATTATAAACATATCCAAAGGTTTAGGTTGGTCAATCCCAAAAGTTCCATGCACAATTGGCTCATAAGGATCAGTATACAAATATGAATGCTTCAACTTATTAATCCTATAAAAATTCGACAAAATCAGTTCAAACTTCTATGTACCAGCTAGAGAAAATCCAAATATACTTACCAAAATATTGAATATATTATTGAATATATTATAAACTCGGCAATTAATATTACAATCGAATAACCTGCATTTATATATATTCATTATATGAGTGCGTGAGAGTGAAAACCTGGAAACCGATTTAATAATTTACTATGATCGGTTTTCAGATTTTTACTCTCACGTACTCTTATATTAATTATTTATTAATTATATATTAACTTTATCATAGAATAGTCCTGTGTATATTCAAAGTTCAATATAAAATAGGTAATACGAAGAACTACAGCTAAGATAGCATAAATTTAGTCAATTAATTATATCCTTACCTCCTTATTTAAACAAGTTGATTTACGATAAAATAATTGAACAAAGCCCTTTTTGAAATGGCGAACGAAGGATTTGTAACATTAAACTTTGTTTATATCATTAAATTCTTAGTGGTAAATAAATTTTTTTCTGTTACATCTTTCTTGGAATCTTATTGATTATAAATTTTTATGTTGGAAATTTTAAATTAAAAATTATATTAGAGATATGTTTTAACGTAACAGATCAACATTATATATTTAATATTATCATAAAATGCTGTATATCATTCATACATAACTCTTGGAGTTTCATTTTAATGTTTTGTAAAATAGGTAATACGAATATCCGCGACTGGCAAAGATAGCATAAAACAAAATTGTTTTAATTATTTCCCTTATTTGAACAAGTTCATTTACGAAAAAATGTATTAAAAGAATCATGTAAAATATAGTTTTCAGAATTGACTAAA